GCTCAACAATAATATCTTGCCAATTTTGTACATCTCCATAAGCATCCTTTCTTTTTGTTTTCATTTCAATAACAAGACTGGCCTAAAACGGAATAAGCAATTCAGAATAAAGATTTAAAAGTTGATCATTAATAGTTGAAGCAACATGTCCTGAAATGACATGGCTATTAGCTGACCAACAGCTACACGTGTGGACGGATGCAAAGCATTAATTTTAAGTACTAAAACATATCTAACTTTTTCACAACAAAGAGAGAGAACATAAATGTCAAATTAAAATTTTATTAAATCACATAACATGAAAGCTACTAAAATCCAAATAGTTCCATATTGATTTTAATATTTGAAAATTTCCTTCTAAATATGGCTAGAAAAAATAACAAACTTCAAATCAGCTTTCACAAGTCACGTATCAAAATGACTGAAATCTCTTTAATAAATCATAGAAATGTTTGTAGGCTATTAGAAAATAACTCTGTAATATTTAATAACTTTATCTAAGTCCTACTGAACGAAAAGATACACAAAATCTAAAAATATATTCTTGAAATATTTGTTTCATTTTAATAATAAAAATTAAAAACATTTACTTTACAAATACACTAAACATATACATACTCTATAGTTTATCTTTCAGTTTAATCGATCTCTCACTTTTCTCAGTTTTCATAGTGTTTTTGGGTCTGTGTGGCCAACGGGATCTTTGGCTCTATGTTTTACACTGAGAGCTTTGAGCAATGTGCCTCCACCACACATTTGCTGCAACCAGTTCATCCCTAAGCTGCACGGTGCACCTGCACTTTGACATATTGTAAACAACTGCAGAGCCTGGGGAAGACGGGATAAGAGCGGTTAAACGCTGTGGTTTTCCAGACATCGGACCAGTTAGTTTTGATTCTACCATATTCATCTGCTAAATAGGATGAAACACGGACATTTTCATCGATCTATAAACGCTCAGCAGATTCCAGGGGAAGACCGTGAAAGCGTACGTGTCCAGAAAAAGGAACTTTTGATCACCTTAGTGAATGGAATAATAATAGTGGAATAATCCTGGAATGACCAGAGAACATGAAGTGACAACTTTTTTTTTTTTTACTGTGGTGGTGGTGGTCTGTCATAAAGGGATCTCCGACCGGTGATCAAAATCTAAAGATAATCGATGTCTATGTTTGACATTTATGACCACATTTGACATACATATTTAAGTTTGTAGAACAAGCGTGTGATTATTCACTTACTGCTGGAAACCGCTGGCTTTTTGATTCCCACTTCCTGTGAGCCTGCGGGCTGCTGTGAAGCTGTGAGCGGGGTAGAGCCGGCAGCCCCGCCCATTGGAAACAGCGCGTGTGGACCGACCGTACCAACTTGAGGAATTGGGGGAGAGGGGGGGACTATAATCTCTCAACAATTAAAAACACATTGTTTTGTATTTGCAGACTAACTTTTACGTTGTGGTTTTAGAAGAAAATACAGGTTTACTGATAGCATTTATACATTTACAATAACTTTTGTGGGGGGGACAACTTTGTGTGAGGGGGGGACGCGTCGTCCCCCCCCCCCCCCCCCCCCCCCCCCCCCCAGGATCTCCGCCTATGTTGAGAGTGTAATCTCTTCAGCCATCTTCTGTTGGGGTAGCAGCATCAGAAGCAGGGACCTGAAAAGGCTCAACAGCCTAATAAAAAAGGCTGGTTCTGCTCTGGGGACGACTGTGGAACCACTGGAGGAGATAATGCAAAGACGGATTCTCCAGAGAATCAAGAGAATTATGGACAACCCTGAGCATTCTCTTCACAAGACTGTCCGACAACGGAAGAGTGTCTTCAGTCAGAGGCTTCTTCAGTTTCACTGCAACACTGACCGCTACTGGAGATCCTTCCTGCCAACAGCCATTGTAATATACAATAACTCTTTGATGACTTGATTATTAATATTATTCTGAGCTACTACAGCAATCAATTTCCCTCTGGGATTAATAAAGTATTTTTGAATTGAATTGAATTAAGCACAAGATAACTTACTGGAAGAAACAAAATTATCATGAGAATCAGAACAAGAGAGCCTGATAAGTCATGTGAAAATAAAAATTAAAAAGTATGTATGTATAATAGAAATAAAAATATATTAGAATTAGTGTAACTCACTGTGATCCAAACAATAAATCAACCATAGCTGATTAGCAATCATGAAATGTGGTCTGGAGTTTTGAAATGTGGTCTGGAGTTTTTAAGTTTCATTCTTTTATTACATTTTATTCTTAGATCTGTTAAAAGGTCACCATGGCAGCCTGTGTGTCTCCAACATCAGCTACACAAAGCAGCAAGTGTAAGTACCAACTACCTGTCTTGACCACTTCATGTATGGTTTTGTACTTTAAACAGCTAGGCCAAACCTGTTTTTTTCTTCATAGCCATTTGGATCATTGGAGACAGCTACGTGAGGCGTGGTGCCCAGAGAGCGGCAGAGACCCTCGGAGACAACCTTGGCCTCTCTGACGTCTGTGTCTCCTGGTTTGGTTGAGGCGGACTGAGGTGGAAAGACCTTCTCCCCTTCTTTTCCACTCCCTGCGAGGAAGAGCAGCTCCTGATGTCCTTCTCATCCACTGTGGCGGCAATGACATGGGGGTGGTCAGCAGTCTGAAGCTGGTCAACATGATGAAGGAGGACCTGCACCGGCTTCACCTTCTACACCCTCATATGATGATCATCATGTCCTCCATCACCCAAAGGTGTAGCTGGAGGGCAGGTGTAAAACCTGCTAAAATTGAGAAGGCCAGGAGGTTTGTCAGCAGTGTTATGGCTTCATTTATCACATTACATTATCACACAGGGCAATGTAGGTTTGGATTTTGTTCTCTCCCTAAATAATAAAAACCATCATTTCAAAACTGCATTTTGTGTTTACTTGTGTTATCTTTGACTAATGGTTAAATGTGTTTGATGATCAGAAGCATTTTGTGTGACAAACATGTAAAAGAATAAGAAATAAGGAAGGGGACAAATAGTTTTTCACACCACTGTACATGTATATATATATATGTACATGTATATATATATATATATATATATATATATATATATATATATACATGTACATATATACACACACACACACACACACACACACACATATATATATATATATATATATGGCTATATATATATACGGTATATATATATATGTGTGTGTGTGTGTGTGTGTGTGTGTGTGTGTGTGTGTGTGTGTGTGTGTGTGTGTGTGTGTGTGTGTGTAATTTTACCCTACTACATTTAAATTTCATGGTTAAACAGTACATGTTAAAATGGTGGTTAGCATGCTACTTTGATAAGCTCAGCTAGTGCAAATGTGACCAAAAATACATAAATATTATTTTACTTACCGAAAAAAATGAAGTGGAGACTCCTTGGATGCTCTATTAGTGCAATTAATACCACAGCAAGTCATTTGGTCCAAAAATTGCACAAATAATATCCAAAAAAGAATACACAAACACTACAACTACTGGTCTAAGTTCAGAGACTAAAAATCGCGGAACAGTTTTCAGGCAAGACCGAGGCTCAGACTGAGGCTACTAAGGCCTTTCCCCGGAGCTAGCTCTGTGGTCACGTGGGTCTGATGCTCATTAATTATACAGAATTTTAAGCATTTAATACACTTAAACAGAAGAGTGACAAAAAAATGCACCCCCCTCAGAGTTGTCATGAGTGTAAACTAGATCAATTAAACCTTAAAAAACATGTTTTGGTACCAGGCTGTAAACATGTTTATTTCTGCTGTGAAAATTGTATTTTTAACATGGGAGTCAATGAGGATTTGCTCGCTTCTGACACCAGCCCCCAGCGGATGAGGGTGGAACTGCAATTTATTTCACTTCCGCGTTGGCCTCAAATTCAGACCCGCATTGTGGGGGCTTGGTTGGAACCCTCCAAGTCCTTACTTGTTACTCCAGACAACAGCACATTCAGTCTCGTTCTTGCAGCTTGATTTGATTTGTTCGGTTAGATTACGCATACCAACGTAAAACATTGCTGTGTTGTGGGGTGCAACACTTGATCGCCAAGAAAAAAGGTGGAAAACAGGCTAACTGTGCATTGTTTTCCTGCATGGAGGCTAAACCACAGAGACTGAGTATCTAGCATAACAAAGCCTCATCGGCTCGCAGCTAGGCAATCAAACACCACCTTCCAGAGTATTTTCATTCTGGTAAGTTACGGATAGTGTATGTTTTTCTATACCTTATTTATTTCCTTCGGCTGCGACACGCACACACACACACACACACACACACACACACACACACACACACACACACACACACACACACACACACACACACACACACACACCGGTATATGCGGCCGTACTGAATCACAACACAACTTCTGCTAAGCTTCTATGGGATGACCATTTTGATTGTTTTACTAAAAACAGCAAATGAAACATTAACCTCTCATCCGGACATTTACATTCGCTCACACCACTAACAAGATAGATGAAAATGTCTGCTATGCAGAGCTGCGGCAGCAACAAGTTGTTGGTGCTCCAGTCTTGGGTCTTTCAAATGGTACCGAACCGTGTTTAACGCTGAATATGTCCACATACCGGTCCCTGACATCTCTATTTAACATATCCCTGTATATTCAGCATCTTTTTGGGGATTTTAAAATGTTGTTTAACACTTCCTTTCTCCCAAATCTGCTTCTTCTTTGTGACGTACTGTTTGTTTTGACAGTTTAAGAATAAGAACAAGAATACCTTTACTAGTCCCTCAGTGGAGAAATTGCGGTATTGCAACAGCACAAGTGAGTAAAGTAAAATAGAAGTATTACACAAACGATATCACACAAAAAGGATTTAAAGAAGTAACTTTGAATTGAAAAAGTGTTGAACTGTGAGTTTGATAGTTGTTGCACATAATAACGGTTGTTACAGTAAATATTCTGGCAGTTCAGTGAAAAACAGATAAAGATTCACAAAGTATCAGCAGCAAGAAGCAGAGCCAGATATTCATGGTTTTTATTGAGAGGCAACAAAGACATGGGGAGTTGTACAGTAACAATGAAAGTGAAGATTTCTATTATTTTTAGACTAAATGGAAAATAAAGTAGGATATAGTATTCAGAAGATTTCCAGTTGAATTTACCAGAGACATAAACTTTACTGAGCTTCAGCGACAAGAGAAACAACAAAGAAATATGGTATTTGAAGATATACTTTCTCATGGATGTGCAATTTAAAAGCACTCAAAGCTGGGTAGAAATCGGGAATTATTTTATAATTTCACCTTCTTTCTTCCGTATAGGTGAAAATAGAGCCATATAACAATTTCTAGAGAGTTCCGTTGTGAAAACAACTCAAATACAACAAAATACAAAAATACAACCATAGAGATGTTCTGGCAGGTTGTACAGGAGCTAAAGTGCTTTATTTGGATTTAGCACTCCATAATAAAACATTTAGAAGTTTCATCAGGAAAACTGTAAGGAATAATTAGAAAGTGCTGTTGGGACTACTGTTCAGCTTTAATTAGTTTGATTGGCAAACTTGGCTTAGTTTTTCATTTGTCACATGGAATCTCAGATCTTAGCCATTATCTGAGTGCACACATCACTGCAGTTGCATTTGCATGTAGTGACTTGCATCAGCTGCTACAGTCATGTTTTCCCATCAGCGGCTCATTCAGGTGTGCAGAGCCATAACAGAACACCTTTCACTTTCAGTTCTCTGATAAACTTGTGCTAAAGCAATTTGCTGCTGCAGCTGCTGCCACAAACACAACCTTGGACTGAGATGCTTTTGGTCCTGGTGCCTCAATGTGAGACCAGCACGACGTGCTTACACGCATAAACCATAAGATATAGTTTTTAACTTTTTGGCTCCACGCATAACCTTTTATGTGCAAAACTCAAACTGGCAACATTCTGCAAGGCAACAGTGAAACCAACTGTGCTACCATTCAGACCCTAGTAAAGCTAGTAAAGTAACAATAAAAAATGTCCAAATATAGAGATTTGGTGATTAATTATGCTAATAAGATCATAGGCTGTGTTTGAAATCTTCACACCTTAATTCACTTAACTACATCTCATTCACTAAAGAGTCCACAACTCCATGTTTTGCATTTCAAACACTACTTGATTCATAGTTGCGCACCAAGGTTTCTGTTTGGTGTCTCATAAATAAACACAGACAGGATCCACCTGAATAAAACAGCTGAATCTGAGGTGATGGACGACTTTACTTAGCTGGTTTTTACAAAAAACTAAATTACCACCATTAGTCTTTATAGCACTGAACATTACGTAGCGTGGGCACATCTACGTACTAGAATTAACGCTGTTTGCTATCAGCTTTGTTAGATTCTGATGAAGATCAGGTAAGTTAGCAAATGAAGCTTCTATCACATATAAATATCTAGGATATTAATATAATCGATAGAAGTTCATACACTAACGGGCTTGGTCTATATTTAATCCAAAGATTAATTTTTAATTTAAGATAATTAAATTTTAGCAAAAGTTTATTTATTGAATCAGAAGCTTAAAGCAATCTTTGCTTATTCAATAACCAAACATAACCATTCTGTGTTTCATTTCAAAGAAGAGTCAGGTTTAGAAAGTTAAGAATTCATTACTAACACTTTTAAAGATGACAATTTGAAAATGACAATTTGTAACAGCTTGATATTAAACTTGTTATTAAAAGCAAACCTGTGTCTGGATGGAAAACTAAAATGAAATGTGAGGTTTGGATGCGTGAATGAATCTCAGAAGATTTCCTTCAGAGAGAGAAAGCGTTCTGGGTGGAGAAACGTTGTTTTGCTGCTAACTTATGGGTTCTTAGAGAGAACAGCATACAGACACCATCTGTCGGACAATGTCTACCTCACCCAGTTCAGGAGACCCTCCGTGGATCTGAGATGTCAGGTGGAGATGGTTCCCTCCGGGCACGAGGTTGGTAGAGAGACCTCGGTGCGGCTCAAATCGATCCTGAGATGTCTCCGTGGGTCACAACAACTGATGAATCTATTTGCGTCTCAAAATCAATAACTCTGAACGAGTTTTTGTGTCAGCTGGTTACAGGTACGTTTATTCGGAGCAATTCTATCGGCATGACAGAACAGCATAGTAGAGGCTTGGGCGGCCGTCCCTCGTCCTCTGGTGGGTTCAAGAACTGAACTTCAGCTGCGAGAGATTTGGTTTTAACAAAACCTCAGAACACGCCCTCTCAGCGTGAGAAAGCTCGTTGTTATGGAGTAAAGACATGTGAGGAGGTTAACTTTTACCCTGGTTTCAGTCCTGCATAAGGTGTACACATGCCAATGACCTTCTGGTTAATGATCACACATTACTGATTATCATAAATAATAATTATTATTAACCCAATGAATAATGAGCCATTTCAGTAATTAAATACATTTATACTGAACCATGATGATTATTTATGATGATTATTATATGAATGTAATAAACAGTAAAACAGTTTATTAAATTATTATTTTAAAATCTTGAAGTGTCCTTCATCTTGGGACAGAACAGCAGCAGCAGACAGATAGAAGATGGTGTTTAGCAGACTGTCGTCTCCTGTGATGGGTAATCTGTGGAACAAAAGTTACGTCTCGACCCAGCTGGGAAAGTGTGACCTTTGGGTCACAAATATGAGGTCATTCATGTCGCTACACTAGATTATACATATTTGTGACGAATCATTACACTTCTTTATGTAACGTATTCTCTGGCGCATAGGTGGACTCGCAGCTGCAATTGTATAGCAACCTTCAGTGTTCAACAATTCTAAATGAATATAATCCACAACAGGTTATTGAATACAGTTATATAACACAGCTGTTAGAAAAGAGACAAGGATTGAAATGCAACTTGCATTTTACTTTTTGATCTTTACTATCTTTAAAATTTTATCTTAGCAACAACTGTTTTGAACTCATTTCACAGTTTTTATCTCATGTCCTACAGCTTAGACAGAGAAAGAGATGAGAATCTTTATTGCTTAGAGTTATTAATTGTAACTGATCTGAAATGACTTTATGATGAGCTGCAGACATTAGCACTTTTGGCTCAGGTCACAGTGTGGCCTGTCTCTACAGATGCAGTGCAACAAGTATAAGTTGAGTTTAGGGTCACATGTAGTGAAAAAAGTGAAACTTGTGAGTTAGTGAATGAGTGGACATTTTAAATCAAGCCGTGGCTTGCTAGGAAATTGCATGCTGGTAAATGATGACATCACGATTTTAGTTGGTTAGGTTTTCACTACCAAACTATGCTACTAAGATTACAGTTTTCTGGTGCATTACAAACTGATTTAAAAAGGATTGCATGATTTTATTTTCTAACAAGGCATGATTCATTATTACAAGGGAACCTGGAACTACTTTCGTTTTTACAACTGGAATTTACATAGATCCCCACCTTATTTTGCTGACAGGCTAAAAACTTCATATTGGCTTGTTTGCATTTCCAGTCACAGCCTCTCTTCAGACAGGATCCTCTCTCATTTGCCTTTTGTGCTTCTTGAACAAAGCGTAAAGGACCTTCAAGGTAGCGGTGGTGTCCTGAGAGACGATGTCTGTAACAACATCCACAGGAGACAAATGACACAAGCAGCAGCATGAAGACACTTTTAACATCAACCAATTACTGCTCCCACAAAATATCCATTTAGGTCAAAAGATCAGAAAGATAAATAAAAATGAAAACTTAATCAATATGTCCTTTGGTGAAATGAGCTTCCACCAAGTTTGCATGCTGCTGTGGGGCTGCACCGAGGGAGCGAATGTGGCATAAAGATTGACTCCACCACTTGCTAATCTAATTATTGCACACAGCATGCTCCTGTTTGAGACCCCGAGTGCTGGATTTCCTCTCACCATCACAACAATTATATCCTTAATTAAAAAGACACTAAAAGTTGAGATGAAATTAACTTCCTCCCTGGGCTGAGATTGGGTGATCTGGTCTTTACATGATCAGCTATCATGCTGAGGACTTAGACAGGAATCATGGGATGCTGCATAAGGCCCATGGGCCATAATGTGGGGAAGTCAGTGGATGTAAGAGGAAGCAGAAGCTCAGACAGGAGCTCATCTCGTCAATAACAGATCCACTGAGAGGGGATGCTCATTCACTTCCTACTGACTGATTTACACACACGTCATTCACTCACTTTACTTCACTCCTCTATTTCTGTAGTAAACAATGCTCTATTTCCTATATTCTACAACGTGATCATAAAGTACTTTCTGATTCAAACTGAAACCATTACTTGTTAATTTGACTCTTCTATTACATGATAATCTTCTAGGTCACATAGTGTAGAGAAATTTAGTCGCATCCAGTCTAAAATATTCCTTTAGACCGCAAGTGTAACAATGGCAATCTCTCTGACAAAAAATCTGTTTCAAGTAGTATTTTCACGATGAACTTTAATCTAAATACTGCGGCGGATCATTGGACTGTTCTAAGAGACGTTCTGTGGAAGCTTTATGAAAAAGTAACACATTACCCGATGAAGATGGCTGTAAAACGTTCATGTGCAGAGTTAAGGTCTGACAAAACTAACAAGCTAAATGGCTAATCCTACTATACTTCAACCATATGATTTAATCTTATTAAAGAGGAAGTGTGTTTTACTAATTGGTTATAAATAAAGTGTAAAATGGTATTTGAAAGTTGGAACTGACCAAAACACGTGTGATAACCTGCATTCATTCCATTTCCTTTATTTATAGAGCCTTCCTGCCACCAGTCAAGCCAGCCCAATGTGCTGAGCATGATAAATACAAGCAGATACAGACGGTAAAGGACAAAAAGAGAATTGTTGTAAAATACAAAACATGCATTGATTAGGAACATCACAATAGTGAGGTGTTAAACCAGTATACTGTTATAACATTAAGATCCACCACATTCTCTCGATCTGCACCCCAAACAACAAGAACAGCCCTTTAATCCACATATAGACGGTCTGGCTTTAAAACTTCCAAGCGAGGTAGATTTTCTGACATCAATAAGGAGGTGGTTCCACAATTTTGGGAAAAGCTCAATCCCCTCGACATTTACGCTTGGATCTAGGTACCATCAACAATCAGCAAAGCAAAGGACTCTAGAAGGAGCATACTTCTCCAGAAGAGCTGACAGGTATGGTGGAGCTGTCTCTGCAAGCAATTGAAATACAAAAATATAGGACCTTAACCTCTTTGTGGTTCCTTAGAGGAAGCCATCGCAGAACGCCAAGGACGGATAACCTGATGCCTTCTATCAGTCAAACACTTGACTGTGGATGTAACCATGAGGTCAAGTTTTACCCTACAGTTAACATCAGCCACCAGAGTGGCGGTGTCCCCTTGAGCCCGCCCCATCTCGCCTCTGCTCCAATCAAAATGAATAATGATGACCGAGACGATCATCTGCAGTGACTGACTCACAAATCACGCTCGTTCATATACTGCGAACAATTCAGTCCTTCCCTCTAAAACACTTCCAAACCCTTGACCCCCCCCCCCCACACACACACACACACACACACACGCACACTCCATTAGACGACCTAAATAAATGTTTTAACTCACCTTGTGGGTCAATATTGGACAGCTGCAGGCCCATATCATCCAGGAGCTCCAAGGCTAAGGCCACATTCTGAATCTGAAGTAAAATAACATGTTTGTCCCCTTCAAGCTGTTTAAATGTGTACACAGAATTAACATGAATAATCATAAACTAGGTGATTTTTTCTTACTTTAATAAGGAATTATATAAATTGGGATTATTAATGCTCAGTTTTTTTGTCACCACATAATAATCTGCTGATTTTGATGCTTGTGTTTCTATAAAATTACAACCATCCTATAGAAATTGGAGAAATGTCCTCGCTCATACGTGAAGAAGGAACATGTTACATGTCACGCTGTCCGTTTGGTAATTCATCCATGAACTCATCACTGAGATGAAAGAGGCGTTGCTTTCATAGACCTATCTTGTTGCCTCAAGCCAATTAAGATCAAAGATATAAGCGAGACGTGGTGCTATGGATAATGAATCCCCTCCTATGATGGCAACGTTCCATCGTTTAATTGTTCGTAAAAGGCACATTATTATTTAATTATATAATAACATTTAATTGTTATTATTTATGAGTTAGATAAAAAATTACATTTAGATGCAACAAAAAATAAGCAAGTTGATCAAAAATGGCATTTTCCTAGACACATTGATATGTGATGGATAAAAAATAATAAAATTGAGTCAACTGATCATGGAGCCGTGTGGTACCATCTCAGAGTCGCTGACCGGAGTCAGATGGAAGCTGAAGAGGGGGATGAAGAAGCCCTCCAGCTGACCAATCAGCAGCAAAAGAATAACTCCATCAGCCAACTGGAGAAAAAACAGACAGAACTTTGGGACGTGTCCATTAAGGAGCTAAACGCTGAGTCAACATTGAGTATACCTGTTTGTCCATGTCAGCCACCTGCAGACCCAGGGTTGCCAGGTTCTGGTTGACAAAATGTAGGAGGGCCTGGATATTGAACCATCAGGTTAGGATGACGGAAACACTCATTTGTTTTTAGTCTACAAAGCCACATCAAGAGGTTGCTTAAACAAACTCTAACAGGAAGACCATCTTGGCTAAAGTGATAATTTATTAGTAAATGCATTAAAAGCCAGGTGAAGTCACTGCAGTTTAACCCAAGAGACAAAAAGCATTTGTGTGCAAAGCCTGGTGACCGAACCTTCAGCACGAGTCACAAGAGCAGCAGTCAGACATCATGCTGCAAGAAAACTGTCTACTTCTCTGCAAATTCAATTCTTTCAGCGAGTTTCTTTGCAGCAAAACCTGCCAAGCATTCAAGCATTTTCTCAAATGAATGGCTTTTGTTCATTTAAAGGAGGCCTTCTGACCTTTTGAATTGAAAGTAATTTTTAAAAAGTGAGCTGCCACGTCTGTAGGTCTATAAAAACATCCCAATTTGTTTTAAACATATTTATAAACTAAAGTTTCTTAATTAAAATTGATCTGTGGCAGCACCAAACAACGATTCACTGTATAAAACTTAAAAACTATTTAGAAATGACACAAATAACATATTCTTTTACACTTTGACTGTCTGATAAAACTGTCAGTTTAATTATTAACAATTGGACCTAATGAAGGAAAAAAATGCTCAAAAACAGATATTTGCCTTGCTTTTTTAACCTATCCAGAGACATGGTGTCACCTAAGCAGCCCTGCCTCTAAAGACAGTCTGGGCACAGCAGAATGTTGTCTTTTATTACTGGTCTTTACATTGGCTCCAATGAAAAAAACCTCAACATGTCCAAAATAAGACAAGATGGTCTAATTGATGACATTTTTATTAACGCTGTAAGTTTTGTTCTGTTGAACACTAAGGTGCTGAGAACAAGGCAGCAAGAGTTTATTTTTCAAAGTTTCCAGATCTTCCCCCAGTGGAGATGAGAGCGTCGGCACCTTAAACACCTCAGCATGTCTCCTGTCCTTTATCTACCTTCTTCACTGTGTTGACCTTGTTAGCCTCCAGCTTCAGCAGCTGTTCGATGGGATCCACCCCTGGGTGACGAGACAGCAAGAAAAATGTGTTGGAGGGCTGTAATCGTGTTTGGATGACATTCAAGATGTCACATCAGCTCAGCCTCTGACCGCTCTCACTTACCTTCTGCGCTGACGGAAGAGTCCGAGGCTGTGCTGCTGCAGAGAAGCACAGAAAGTGTAACTTTTATTACATTCACAGAATCGCATACAAGAAGAAATCAGCTCACCTGTCTTCTGTCAGAATCTCAGTCTGCACTTCTGATTTGATTCCATTTTTGCCGACCTAGGTGAGAATGTAAGTTAACCATCTCTATGATGAAATCTCACGTGTTGACGGCTGATCTGAAGCAGGAGAAGGTGCCACAGCCTGAGCTCTGACTCACTTCCACAGCAACAACTTCCACCTTCACGTTCGGTGGCAGAATTAGTTCAGGCTGGAAAGCTTTCACCATGGCAACCAGCAGATGAATGGTAGCCAGGAGGTCTTTGTTGTGGATGACTGACAGGCAAACAAGAGAGAATGCAAAAAGAGCAAAAAGGAAAAAGCAAAAGTCAGCTCGCTCTGATGTGACAAAACTCAGAACAACACAAACAAGCATCCTGACTACATAACTGATGTATAAATGCATAATCAGTCTGATAAAATCAACATTTTACGACAGTGTAAATGAGCACTGATGTTTTGTAATCATTACAGCTGCATTGTGTGCTGTGAGCACAGCCTGAAGGCGGCTCACAGCAGCTTTGGGTCGGTTTAATTTTAACACAGTTCATTCGGATCATCCATCCAGTCTCTACTCACACTTTATCCTGTTCAGGGTTACCAGGAAGAAGCTGAAGCAGCCATCATTGAGAGAAAGGTGTGAAACCAGGGGCGGCGTTAGGCCCGGCTACTTGGGCTGAAGCCCTGGATGTTTCATGAAAAGCCCCAGATCTAAATCGTGGAAGTAACATGCAGTACCAAAGTCCAACAGAGAGGGAGCAGCTGGCAGTAGTTTGTATACAGCCTGCCTGAGCCTCCACCACTGAAGAAGAAGCCCTTCAGCAGCCGGCTTCTTCTACACTCTCTGCCTGAAACGCATGAGTGAAGATGGACATAAGGACGTTTTTTAGACCAAAAGTACAACGACAGAACCCCAGCTTTGATGAGACTGGTGTTGACTCAGGTTTGTGAGTCTTATTTGAAAATATTTGTTGTGCTGCTGGTTTGCCTAAAGTTAGCTTATCAGGTAACGTTGATGGAGAAAGAAAGGGAATATTTACTATCATCTCACACTAAACACTAACAGGAACAATACTCTGCCCTGAAAATGCTTAACATGTAGCTTCAGATTAAAAATTATGTGGTACAAGACAAATATGATGTTGACTAGTGTGTGTGACGTGTGTGTGCGTGCGCGTGTGTCTTAAGCCCCGGATCTTTTTCAGTCCTAAATCCGCCCCTGTGTGAAACACTCGCTCCATTACAGGACTCACACAGAGACATTCAGCCATACACACTCTGTGATCATTTTAGGATAACCAGTGAACTGGATGAGCACATCCTCAGACTGAGAACAGCAAACTCTGGTCTGTAGAGCGAACTCCCTAATGGGGTAGCACACACCATCTCACTTTATCTGTTAGCACTCTGAGTGTGTGTAATGAAAGACTCTCATCTTCAAATGTTATAGGAAATTTTAACTCAATGTCTGTTACAATGACAAAGTTATAGCACTTCGTTTAGGTATGAGGACCTTCTGAGTTATGTCTTAAAGATCGTGGTCACGTTAGGGGTCTCTATGGTGTAAATGAATGCCTTGTGAGTTGATCTCTGTTGGATAAAAGCTCTGGCGCTCCTGTTTCAGGGAGTAGAAGTTGGTTGAGTCCATGATTGCTAATTTTACTATGTCAGATGGATCTGTATGGCTTTTTCTGACCTGAGTGTTTCCTCATCTATTTTCTTTTGGCGGCTAAAGCAGGAAATAAGGTGTAAAAGACTATTTTCACATTCTACGTGCATAAACTCAGATTAACTGGTCGTGATTTAAAAATAACAGGTATTACACAGCCTCTCTGTGAACCTCACCTTTTCTCATGGAGCAATGACACGGTGTCTAAATGCCTGTCAGGTTTCTCACCAATGTAATCCGTATTTAGACTTCCCATATGAATCCACAACAAACAAAGCTGTGTAACCATACTCTACTTAGCTTAAAATACTTAATGTTTGTAGTTTCTGTTGAGGGGAGTTTGCTTTCATGAGATGTGTTGGTGTCAACAGCAAACAGTTTTTAATAAATCAGATTGAATGCATTCATCCCTCTAAATGCATGTAAAAGTCTCCTGTAAACTCCAGATCTTCCAGTGGTTTTAAGTCAAGTGAATTCAAAAACTGAGAAAAGTGTGATCAAGTTGTTCTGCATGCATTGTCTGCTCTTTCAGGCTGTGATCCAAAGGTCACATCATTCTTGACAGAAACTTCAGATTATTGCTGACAGGAAACCATCTGCTTACCAATTCATATTTTTGACTTTTGCACCAATAGACATGGCACTAATGGGCGATTACATCAGAGCCTCATGATGCTGGAAAACGTTATCTCACGTCTACAGTTCCTCACAGTTGGTATCAGCTTTGATGGCTGTCTCTGATTATCACCAGAGCCTGTTGTACTGTGAGGCTGGTGCCAGAAGGGAACATTTGTTCACTTGTTGCTCTGTGGTTGTATCCCAGTCAGATGCATGACTCACGTTTGACATTCCATTTGATGGGACTGCTGTCCTGCAGTCCCAGCCTTTTGTTTAACTCCTCCAGGATCACTTCCAGCTTACGGATCTGAGCCGAGCTGGTCAGAGCTATTTCCTCCAGCGATAAGTGAATGCTGGCAAACCTGGCTGCAGTAAACAGAAACTGATTACTTATGATGTTTCTTTTTTTTAAGAAGACTTAATTTCAATTAGATTTTGACTGAGAAGCACAATGTGATTAATAGGATATCAAAGGTTGTATTATCTCACACAGCAGGTGATGAAGCACCAGTCCATCATACAGGTCCTCCTCCACACTCTGAACCACTATGTGCTCTGGTTTCAGCGTCCTGTTGATCCAATCAACCAATGCCTCCCAGCACACGATTAATCACAATCAGAAACATCAAACACTTTCATCTTTATACAAATGCTTTTCTTTGAACAAATCTGTTAATGAAAGGTCAGCATGAAACCTATTTTTTATCTATTCTAAAAGACAAGCTGATGGTACTTCCAGCACTTGGACCTTTTATCGATATGTTCTAAAACATGATCCTGCAGACTCCTCACTCTGACAATATATGATCCGTCTCCCATCACTTCTAAAAATTATGTTCATTAAAATTTCACTGATCCTTCCCCCTCTCTGCCACATCAGAGCTCCATGCCGCACATGCACACGCACATGCACATGCACGGACGCATAGATTTAATAAAAACACCAGAGGAACTATTTAATGGAGTCTGACATGTCATGAATATTAAAAAAAAGGCAGAATTAAACACAATAAAAGTATAAATTATTTCCTACCTCCTTCAGTTTATCCAGATTAGGGTCTTTAAGAGAAGCTGGTTGGATAACTTTTCTTTTCTCTCCTGTAGAAATCAGGAAAAGGCTGCTTTGGAAAAAAGCTTTTTTATAATTTGTAATTAAAATAAATGTGTTTGATTCAACCAAGCAAAACAAATGTAATCCTAATGACTTTCAAAGGTTCATCAAACAAGAATGAGATGAGTTTGATCTGTTGAGTATTACATTTAATGCAAGAAGATCCATAACTAAGGGCACCAAAGGAGAAGGTCTAGCTTCCCTTTTTACAAACTCTAACTGGAACCATCGTATTATGGTTGTTAAAAGCTAAGCCCAAGAAAGTTAACAGGTCTGTAATGTACTTATGGTCTGGGACATTAAAGGCTTTCGGGATAATTATTAAGCCCCCTTAAAGCCAGACAACCTGAAATGATAATCAGAAATAATGGCTAAGATGGACTTCAGGAGAAGTAAGTCCAACCAAGCCCATCTGCATCAACAGGGAATCAGGTGAACAATTTCATCTTCCAGGGTGTACACATGGACACGAGACTCCAATTGAGTTCAAACATCCCAGACATTGTGGGAAAGGTCCAACAGCTGCTAAAAATCCTGATGAGGGAGCAACTCAAAAGTAATCTACTTGACTTTACACATGGAGGTGGTGAATCCATAACAACAGAGAGATGACTCTACTGGGTGGGTTGTCAATAAGGCCCTTGTATTGTAAAGCTGTGCAAAGGGATTCTCCAGAGGCACCATGAGACAAGAAGACACCATTGGCCACCCTCTCCTGTCACTCAGCATCCTGCTGAACTGAAGGAAGGGTGTATACGTTGCTGCCCCCTGGCTGGACCATCAGTGTGTTAAGGTGAAGCAGACTTCAACACACAGCTTTTAAAACAGGGAAATTTACCTTATGAATGAAAAAAAACAGATGCCGCTTTCTGCACAATATTTTTAATGTGTTTTACACCTCTGCATGTTTTGCATCAATCTTATCTTTTATTTAATTTGTATCTTTTCAAAATGCAATAAAATTGGCCCTTTCCAGCTGCAGTTGTCAGATCTGCCACTAGAGGGCAGAAGTACAGGATTTGATGGAGCAGGAATTTGAAGAAATCTGTCCTGTTACTGGTTTTGGGCTATCATCAGCTGGCAGAAAAAGAAAAACTGAAAATTATCCTTTTGCAGTTTGAATGTGAAATTTCAAAATAAAAGGTTTTTTTTTTTTACCGTGTCCTGTCTGGCTGTGAAGCAAACAGAATTGATGTCTGAATGCTGGTGACAAGCCTTACAGATTTACTCTCAGGTGGAGCATCAAAGCGTCTGCTTTTAATGTCACGCCTGATACTTAAAACTTTATTGTTATTGTTTTGGAATGCTTTATAATTCCGACCAGACACGAAGTCAGAGGTGAAAGAGAAAGGAAAAGACAAAGGGTGGGGAGAAGGGGGGAAGGGGGGGTCCACAAAAATAAACAATAATTAACAAGAGTCTGCTTCTAGACCTGCAGAAAGAGAAAGAATAGAAGAAAAAAATGGGACACACAACAATACATCAGGAGCAAGCTATCACTGCGTCAACGTGATGGTGAAATATAAAATCAACATTGTTTAACTGAACAATCACATGATAATAAATCACAGTGCATTTAGTGGCAACGACAGCCTTAAGACTTGTGTTGAACGTGCCCAAGCCCATACTTTTGAGAGCACCATGTGAGCACCTGTGTGTGTACACGCGCCTGTTTATGTAAGGTTTCTCTATAGGAGCGTCCAATAGAGAGTGTGAGGGACCACAGATCTGCCCCCAAAGATGCGTGGGGGGTGGGGGGGGGTGGCCTCCAAGTCCCACAGATCCAGGCGCTGCCCCAGAACACAGGAACCCCAAGGAGACTGCAACCAGAAAGGCCCCCGCCCCCCTCGAGAGGCACAGAGGATCGCCCCGGGGGGCCACAACCAGCAGCCGGCAGAGCCCCAGGAGATCTCAGCAGCAAGCCCACAGGCCCGCCCGCAGCCTCCTACCCCCTAGCCGGCCGAGCCCGGGACCCAGCGATCAGACATCTGTGCTTTAGAAGCTTTACTTTGAAAATAGCTCTAGATTTAAATTTATTTCCAGTTTTAATCAGTTTAAATAAAGGTTAGGGAAAGGTTAGTGTCTCCACTAAATAATGAGGTAATGAGTGTCACTCACCTAAATGACCAGGTGAAATGTTTACAGTGACATATGACAGGTACTGAGTTATGGAGATATCTATCACTCTTAAATGTGCACATACCCTGAAAAGACTCTACGTCCACAGGATCCTCCTGTTTGTGGTATTCAAAAATACTGGCCTCCATCCCTGCTGCTCTCAGAGACACAGAAACGTCTGTGGCCGGGTGGTGAAATCTGCAGAAGAGTCAGCTGTGTTGAAAAACCTTCAGAGGAAGTGCTTTAGTTCAAACAGCAGCTGAATAAAGAAACACTTCCTATCAAGTGGCAGGAAGCCTCTCAGTCAGCTCGACAGTTTGCTGACCAGCAGTCTAAGACGCTGACTGTATTGACAGCTCACGTTGCTTTCTTCCATTTATGTATACAAGCAACACATTTCTGACGTGTTCTGAACCAAACTTTTGTTTTGACCAGATCATTAAAACCAGAGGAGCTCAAAATTACATTCATCTGCTCAAAAACTTTAAAAACACTTAGAAAGAAGGGCAAGTTCTCTCTCGCTATCTTTTTGTGTTTGTCAGCCACACGCACAGCCGTTCTGGTCGGCCTCTGCAGAATTGCATGACTTTATCTCTCCCTCAGAACGTTTTTGAACTTTATGGTTTGAGAGGAAGCACGGCAAACACATAAAGTCGCGTACGCTGACAAAACAGACATGACACAGAGCGTGTCAAGCTGTTGTTTCCTGGATCTGGAGGAGAGGGAAGCCTCAGCGAGCAGCTTTTCATTGCCCCGTGTGTTTTATGTTTGTGTGGCTTCCATTTCCCGAGGTTGACAGTAACTTTCAAACAAGGTCGTGAACAAAACGACTTTTTGAATCAGCTTACCTTCAGCTCACGGAGAGCAACCGCAGCAGAGTCAGGAGGCCTCCGCCGATCCAAATTCCCTTTTAGACGTCAAACGCCACAAAATGTCAAAACTGTGACATAAAAAGCTGACGGCTGCTCTAAAATCTGAATGGAGGCTTTAATGAGATCTATCAGTGCAGCAGGCCCGACTCGCACCCTGCTTTAAACTGTGGTTGGAAAGGAAATAAGGGTCAGAGACAACAGAACAAGAGGATGTGGCATAGAAAAAGAAGAAGCACTTCCTCTTCTTGGTGCAGGCGTTGCAGCAGAGTGTTTACTGATGAGGGAGTTTATGTCCACTGTCACGGTTTGTATTCAAGACTTTAATAAAGGCAAGTGCGTGAGCAGGGAGGACTCCTGGGTACAGATGTATTGTTTGGAAATCTACACCTCAGGAAGGCTGGAAGAAGCGTGACACTCGGAGTTCTGAAGCACTCACGCTCGGCTCGCACGTCTCCGTCTGCGATTGGTTGGCTCAGTTTGCAGACATCTGGACTCCAGCTTTCTCCGTCCGGTATCAAAAGACACACAAAAAATGAAATAATGAAAGTCAGAACGAGATGGACCTAAATGAATATCCGAGCTGGTTTTGTTGTGGAAAAGAAAAAATAAATATATAAAGCAGCGAAGGGGCAATTTAGGGGATGAGGAAGGTTACCATGGCAACAAAGGTATGAGGCAAGAAAATAAATGCCCAAAATAAATCCATGATTCCTTTATCCAAACCAAATTGTAGGAATTGGCTGTTCCAAAGGCAATCTCTCTCAAAAGCCAAAGCAAATTTTACCTATCGCACTCGTAAGGGATCGCATCAAATTCTCATTCCGTTTGATTCGAGGCATTTATTTCTTGATAGGAGGGATGAGGGGAAAATGTGCACAGCTGAGCCATTCGGTGCTATCTTAAAGTCTAGATTAACTCATCCATTCTCTTAATTATTCAGTGTGGTTTTTAAAATGCATGAGCAGACGTGCAGCCGTGCATCTTAGTGGATCCCCAGGCTGCCCTGCTGGGCCGGGCATGCTTCAGTACCACAGAGAGAGGGCCACGCCTCCTTGGAGACCTATCTGAGAGGCTGGTCAACGTAAAGAGCCTCAGAGCCTCCTGAGATAGTGACAACACAATGCACTTAGAGCTGCACACAACAGGGCCAGCTGTTGGGCCTGCTTTTGTTCAGCTTTTCAATGAGAAGTATTCAAAGATGGTTTTTGCTGCATCTAATCAACAGCTGTGGTGTGTGTGTGTGTGTGTGTGTGTGTGTGTGTGTGTGTGTGTGTGTGTGTGTGTGTGTGTGTGTGTGTGTGTGTGTGTGTGTGTGTGTGTGTGTGTGTGTGTGTGTGTGTGTGTGTGTGTGTGTGTGTGTGTGTGTGTGTGTGTGTGTGTGTGTGTGTGTGTGTGTGTGTGAATGTATGAGACTCTAAAATTGGATAAAAACAGAAATCAGTATAGCATGAGCTAAATGTAACAAAGACGACATGAGGAACTAATGGTGTTTATTGATTTTGATTATTAAAATTACATTTGAACTTTGTTGGGGACTTTCTAATTTCAAAGTAAATGTCATTATAGGGGCATCCTTGTCAGTTTTAAAGAAACTCTTGAAGACCCAGCTCTTCAGAGAACATCTTCTAGACTAGGACCCTCCCTGCTCTTGTCCCCCCTCTCTGCTGTCCACTCCTTGTTCACATCCCTCTATGATTCATTATGCTGCCTCACTACTACCAAGGATTGACTGATCAGTGGTTGTTGTTAGCTTCAAGGGCAACCTGCTGGCTTCATTATAACTAGTAAGTCGCTTTGGACAAGAGCGTCTGCTAAACACATAAACACAAAAGGTCGTGTTGGAACTAAAAACAAAGCCATCATTATGGCTTTAACTCCAGAAGCAACATTTAACAGAGACGTCTCACTAACGTCTATTAGTTCTCTCTCCACATAACCGAAATGTTATTAAGACAAAACGAAATGTTGAATTTCATCATTTAGAACAAAGGGATGTCCACAGCTGTGTTACACAACGTCTTCCTTTATCCACACTGAAAGCTTTTGGACGGCGTTGAGACCATTTTCCGAGTCTGAAAGATAGAAGTGATCCGGTTCTTGTTACATTTTAGAAACGTAACGGTTGGAAACCTCTTTGTCATATTTGCTGTTTTATTATGTGAATTGCAGAATGACCCGAGTTATGAAACAATCTTATCTGCACCATTTCCCCAAACCGTGCCGCAGACTTTTGAACCGCGTGTTGATGGAAAGTTGTTCTTTTCATTCAAAAGGTCTCAGCTTCTTTAATCCATCTGATTCATTACATGATCTTCACAACCGTATCTTATCTGTGTTTGTAGTCCGAGTCTAAATAAATCCTCACACATCCAGATCACGTGCTCTGTTTTATTGTTGCACTCAGCCATGTGGATGATGCCTCAAACTGATTAGTTGTGACATGCTTTGTTAGATTTCTTTGTTATTTTTACATTTTTACCTAACAAATGTCATTTAACTCGTGATTTTCTTAAAATATTTTTAATTAAATATCAGCTTAAAATAAAAATCAATATATTATGTTTAACACTGCAGTGCATGTAGACCTTTACACAGGAAACAACAAAGGTAAGCTAATAATCAGATTTTTGCATATAGGCTTACACAAAACATGAAATTAGTTAACAACCCTCTTTGCAACAAATGAATATTTTTCTTCAAATACATTAATGGGAAACTGTAGATTTCCTGCACAAATGTAAGTGACTTTCTAAGCTTTTCTGCAGAGACAGTCCAGTCTGAGACGTGCTTTCCAACTTTATGATTTCCCCCTGACGACTGCATTCAAAAGCAAAGCTAAAGGTCGCTCTGCTGCTTGCGTGGCAGATAACGTTTGAGGACAGAATAAATAAATAGTGACAATTGGAGATGACTAAAGGCTAACATTCAGAGCCTTATACAGGCTTTCTCCTCCGGGGTCGTTTAGGCTGCTCATAATGGCGCTGTCGTTCAGTCCCAGGTGGCTTCCTCCAGGGTCCGGACCGTAACCACGTCAGCAGAAGCACAGGGCAGTGTTCACACAACAGGCTGAGGCCTAAGCAAGATCAGTCTGAGTTTTTGTAGTTGGTGAAGAGGTTGTAAAGGACTCTGAGAGTCGACTTCAGGTTCAGGTTGACAACGTCTGAAAAACAAAAACAAAAAAACAGAAGCAGCTCAAATGAGTTTAAACTGAAAAGTGTTTTTCCATAAAGATGTTTGCATTGTAGAGCCTAACATGGGATGGTTCTTAAATGGCTTTCATTTAATCGGTGTTTTGTAATTTGTGAACCAAGTTGCAGCTTGAAACAGATCTCAGGAATTCACAAATGATTACCATTTGATGTATTCTTGGTACAAAGTATGTCTCTGTCTAGCAGACAACAGCGGGGCCACTGTACCAGACTTGTGTTTTTTTAGGTACATCTGAAGTTCTCCATTGGGTTTAAGTTCACATACACGAACAAAAATTATATAAATCAGAGCCACTTTTAGAGCTTCAATGATTTTAATTAGAGCACAATTTGGAAGTGGAGTATGCATGCAGGGACTTTCTCTTTGTAAAAAAAAAAAACAACTCAAAGATGGGAAATGTTAAAACCAAAATGTTAAAGGTGTCGAACACTGAAAAAAACATTTTATAAATCTTGTTTCTGATAATTACTCAAGAGTTTTTCATGCAGGCTACACATGAAAATAGTCTCCTACATCAATCTCCTGCATTAGCTTCTGATGGAAAACAGACGGTGAAACTCTAGGATAAGAAAATCTTGACAGATCTACATCACACTGTCACTTAACATTCATGTACTCACCCATCTTGACTCACGACGGGGAAGGCTGTTTCTGGTTTAGCATCCAGGAAACAACAGAGAACGTCTCAACTACTAGAAGCTATCTGTTAGCATTAGCAACTCCACCCAGGGCTGCCAACTCTCACACACTGAGCATGAGACGCACTCATCTGACCCCCTTCACATGCTCTCACACCACTCCTCCAATTTGTCATGCTGAAAAAGCAACCCCCACTCTCAGACATGGAAAACTTCAAAATGTTGACAGCCCTGCCACCACACAGCAGAACTCCTCTGGAGTGGAGTGTGGAGATAAAACATCAGAGTTGCAGAGCAAACAGAATCAGTGGTAGAGTCGTGTTACTGTTAGCCAATCAAAGGCGAGATGTCCAAATATCAGGAAATAAGACTCCAAACCCTGCCGTCTGAAGTTCAGCTCTGATGTGGCTCACTTCTAAGTCCTGAAAATGGTGCACTGGAGCTTTGTTTCCCGAGAGCATGACTTACAAGGCATCCATTCCTACTAGAGACCACTGCAGAGGTATTGCCTAGATGACTGTTCCAGTTTAAGGTTTTTTAAAAGGAAGAAACAGAAATAATCAAAAATAGTAATTTTGCACAAAGGTTTGGTTCAATATGTAAATTAAATGTAGTAATTCTGACTTCGTTCTCAGAAGACACAAGCCTGAATTGTGAGAGAAATTATTAGTTTTTCCTTCATTATAGTGGCCATAATCCTCTGAGTACATTTTATATGCATCATTAGTTTTGCATTTCATAAAAAGGATTAGAGAACAGAACAGAGTGAGTTAGTCATCAGAAGTTTAAGGGCTCCACCTGCTGGACAGCTGTCGTAAGAAACTAAAACAGCGATTTCTCATCATTGTTTATCTCATTCTGCTTTAATTATTCTGTTGTAAATTCCTTATTAGACGTTAAAAGATTGTAATAAAATAGTAAAATACCTTCTGGCCTTGCTTTGGGTTTCTTCAGGCCTCCATCCTGCATCAGTTCAAAGGCAAAGGCAACATTGTGGACCTAAACGGAGATAAACCAACAGTTTTTACTTTCCTTATTATTCTCTTCCATCTTTAAACTTTTTATTTTACTAGTTAAAACAACCTTCTGCTCAAAGTTCTCTGGGGTGAGGAAGAAGTTGTACAACGGCACAAAATAGTCCTCTAGCAGCCCCATCAGCAAAATTAAATACACTCCATCTGCAAACTGAACACACACACACACACACACACACCAAAAGCATGACACTGATAATAACAATCACCCACTGGACTCGGTCAGTTCGTTTTCACTCACCTGAGATTCCAGCTCAGTCACCTCCAAGTTCAGCTTGTTCAGGTGTTTGTTCACAAAGGTGATGAGGGACTAGAAAAATAAACACCTGTGGCTGATTCATACGACAACACATCCTCACCAGATAGTGCTGGACAGTGGTGCTGAGTTTTCATTACCGATTTGACAACATTGAGCTTGTCGGGGGCGTGATCCAGCAACGTGTCAAACGCGTCTCTCTCTGTTCAACAGATTTACAAAAGAATTATAAAAACATCTGTTGACATTACAGCATTTTACATGTAAATGTAAGCAGTTACATTTGGGGAGCTGGTGTAAAAAATATAAGACTAACCAAACTAATCTTCATTAGAAACTTTACTTTTTGATTCATCAGGACTTTGTAACAAAAAATAAAAAATAAAAACTTTTATAGCCATTTAAGTAAAAAAAGGTCATCTAAAATGTACATTTAATGCTGAAACTAGCGTTCTACACAAAACGTGTTCTTTAAATGACCTTTTGCTCCTAAACTTATTATTCTCTTCTAGGTTTAACACCCAAAACTGTAATGAAATGTTTTGACTTTTGTTCTGTTTTGACAAACAAAACAAAATTTGTGTTAAATGACCAAAAATTTTAATAGTTACTTTAAAGGTGCATTGTGTGACAATACAGTGAGAATTTTACAGCGAGAAAATCCCAAAAGAGTCTAATGTTTGAGTCATTTTGGAAGGAAGGTTGTACTGAAGCATATTCATATCCAGCTGGCTGCAGGGATTGTCCGTTTTTGTCCTTGACAAAGGAAGGAGGGACCTAACTACTGTTTACCATCAGTGAGTGTGGGGTTGCCGTGTTTCCTGCGAGCTAATGCTGCAGCGCCAACAATTGTAATTTGAAGACCGGCCGGCAAAAAGCTCCAGAGTTGGTTAAAATGGTTGCAGTAACCAAATTCTACCACAGGATGTCATGTTTACTTCATTTCCACATAATGCATCTTTAATGCACTTTCATACAATTGTAAAGCCAACTTCTCTTATTTTTCTCTCATGTTAAACTTCATCACAACCTGTTATTTAAATAGAAGTAAAAGTAGTCATTAAAACAACTGAAGCTAAATGAAGCTGTTTTGTGGCGTTGACTCACCAAATTTTCCCAACATCATTCTGAAATTTAAAAAAAAGAAAAATAATGAATATTTATTTAACCATTTCTTTCTTGTTTTTGCCAGCATAATAAAATTCACGGATTAAAAACCCTGACAAAAGACACAGCAGCTCTTACTCTGTGGTGCTCGTCAGCTCCTTGGTCATCACGGCGGTCTGCAGGATTCCTTCTCTTTTCTGCACAGAGTCAAAAATAACAGTGAATTTAGGGGTATAATCTGAATATTGTACAAATTGGTAAAATCTTCCTGTTTTGTTATAACAGACTATAAATAAATGTGACCCTAGACCCTACAGTTTACTGGTTGTGTGCCGGCTAAGAGAATACCGCTGCGTAACCCCCTAACCAAGACTATGCTACAGGCTAGGCAGCATAAGCCACAAAGATGGAATTATTGTAATAAAATTTTACTAAGCAACTAATCTACAAATATGCAGCTTCATGCTACAGCTAATGTTAGCCACACAATGCCATACATTGTGCATTTATGCAGATGATGTGCTGTTTTGTGTGACAGATCAGAGGTCACTGAGTCTAAATCACAGACATTCACAGAGAAATGTGTTCACACCTTTTTATGGTCAATATTTAACGTATTGAGAACCACCAGAAGGCAAAAAAGAGCTTTTAATAAAAATCTAAACTCAATTAGAAGATTTCATGAACATATTTCTTCTTCTGTCAAAAATTAAAGCACATTTGTTTGTGTTAATATAATGTTATAACTTCATTATAAGTTGCATAAAATAGTGCACATGTGAATGACATTTTTAATAGTCAACATTTTGAAGGGATGTTTACCTTGACCACCACCACCTGGACTGAAACGTGCTCCGGTAATCTGATGGGAGCCTGGAAGTGCATGGCCAGCGCAACCAGTAGGTAAACAATGGCCACCAGGTTCTTTGAATGGATGGCTGCCAAGGTAACCAGAATAAAAAGCAGTCACTCAGGCTTGCTGCAACTTCATTTATAGAGCACCTTTACTGTTGCTCACACAACCTAAAGTGCTGTACACAACAATGCAGCCACATAAAACACACCCATAATAAAACATAAAAATGTTCAAAAGTAGACAAATACCAAAAAATTAATAAAAACATAAATAAAATGACAATAACTACAAGATCAAGTAATAAAACCACAGTCAAAACTAGGTAAAAGTATAGCTGCACAGATCAACCAGGTCAAAGAGATAAGTTTTAAGTAACGACTTAAAATGCTCCAAACTCTGAGAAGTCCTAGGCTGTATGTGAAGGCTGTTCCAGAAGGCCAGCCACTGAAAAAGCTCTATCTCCACAGGTTTTCAGACGAGCCTTTGGGATGACCAACAGGGACAATTCCCGCAGTAAGCTAAACCTGGGACAGACTGCACTAAAGTTTGCCACATTTCTTCATTCATTTACTGCATTTCACATCAAGCGCAACGACTTCCAATGAGTTGGACATTCAAGCTCATAAATAAAACAACAAAGTCAAAGTGAGCTGGTGGACAAGCATGGGGTCAACAGCTTTCAAAGCCAACCTCACCTCACCATCATCCTTATACCTGCCACCTGGCTGCACAGCTGAAAGTGCAGCCCTAAATGACCTCACACATCAAAGGCCTTTAAATCTCATGTTACATTTCAGTGGCATAAGTGGAGCACATTGATTTGCCTCTGTGTATTATAACTGGGCGGTTAAACTCACCGTCTACACTCCACTCGATGGTCCAGCCATGAGGCCTCAGCAGATGGTTGACGGCCTCCAGAACAGTCGTAAGCTTCTGCTTCTGGCCGATCTCTGACTGGGTAACCTCCGCTACATTCAGCTTCCTGCCTGACAGCTTCTCTATAACCATCAGGAAAGATAAAAGGGAAAAGATGCTCACATTCACATTTATAATCCACATATCAAAAACAATCATCAAATCCTGATTACACTAAAACAGAGCCATACTGAGTAGGGGCCAGGCACTAAATGTCACAAAGTAATGACTAAACCACAAAAATATGGGAGATAAATCTTAGAAATACTCAGTGACTTCCACAGTGAGACTTTTATACTTTAAGAAGTATGTGAGAAGGATTTAGGAGGCTTAGCTCAAGCGTGTGTTCAAATATTAATTCACCAAAAGTTGGAAAAATGTAACCGCAGCAACATGAATGCAGCAAGAGACTTGCAAGAGATACACTGCATGAGCTGGAGGACTTAGAGGCTTTAACACTAGCCATGAAATTACATAAAATTATGCAAGGGTTTGCATTTACATTCAATTTTCTAATATTTTAGGAATATTAGGCATCAAATTGATAATTAATTAATTAATAATTTGGCAGAGGAATTTTATGAGGAAAAAAGCAGGTTTACTAGAAGAATATATAAGTGTCAGTTAATAACAGTGTGAAGTTTGGGTTCTAATGCTGGTAACAAGCCTTACAGATTTATTCTCAGGTGGAGCATCAAAGCGTCTGCTTTAAATGTCACTCCTGATACTTCAAATTTTATTGTTATTGTTTTTGAATGCTTTGTAATTCCGACCAGACACGGAGACAGAGGTGAAAGAGAAAGGTAAAGACAAATGGTGGGAAGAGAGAAGGGGGGGGGTGGGGGGGGGGGGGTTCCACAAAAATAAACAATAATGAACAAGAGTCTGCTTCTAGACCTGCAGAAAGAGAAGAGCAGAAAAAAATGGGACACACAACAATACATCAGGAGCAAGCTATTAATGAGTCAACGTGATGATGAAATATAAAATCAACATTGTTTAACTGAACACGTTAATAAATCACAGTGCATTTTGTGGCAACAACAGCCTTGAGACAAGTGTTGAATGTGCCCAAGCCCATACTTATGAGAGCACCATGTGAGCACCTGTGTGTGTACACGCGCTTGTATATGTAAGGTTTCTCTATAGGAGCGTCCAATAGAGAGTGTGAGGGACCACAGATCTGCCCCCAAAGATGCGTAGGAGACGGGGGGAGCTCCAAGTCCCAGAGATCCAGGCGCTGCCCCAGAACACAGGAACCCCAAGGGGACTGCAACCAGAAAGGCCCCCCGCCCCCCTCGAGAGGCACAGAGGATCGCCCCGGGGGGCCACAACCAGCAGCCGGCAGAGTCCCGGGAGATATCAGCGGCAAGCCCACAGACCCGCCCGCAGCCTCCCACCCCCTAGCCGGCCGAGCCCGGGACCCAGCGACCCGGGACCCAGGGGCGACCACCCCCGCCGGGGACCCAGCAGAGCCCAGGGACCCAGACCCCACCAGGCAGCCACCGGGATTGATCAGGCAGGCGCCAAAGATCTTAAACTCCCTGACCCGGGAGCCACGAACACTCAGGCAGACCAAGGCACCACACCCTACACCAGGTGTGGCAGGGGGAGGAGAGACGAAGATCTATATCATCAAAGGAGGTTCCAGGAGAGGAGAGGTGTCAAAGGCCCCACCTGACATATACAGTCATACACAAACACAGTCACACAGTCACACACTCCCTCCCTCATGCTCACACATACACATACAACCAAAGACTTACAAAAATGCACGCCGGACACCCACTCATGCTCCCCATACACACCCTATTTACTCTGGTCCCGGTACTGCTGCACACTGGGTACAACCATCACCGGTAACCAGAGTTTGACCCTTTCTGCTGGGGTGCCGATGAGCAGGCTCCCCCGCCCAACTCCGAGCACAGCAACCCACCACCCCAGACCCCAACCAGATGGCGAGACCCCCCCCCCCCCCCCCAGTCTCCAGCCCCAGGAAGCCAAGCAATAACAGAGGTGTGCTAAGACCCCTAGTCTCCCTCCGCCTGCTCCATTATAGTGTTGTGTGTTGATGAGGTGTATTCCATGGCTGTGGTGAGCGGACAGTGCAGGCATTGTCTGGCCTATGCCAGCGGATGCCACCGCACCACCCCACTTGCACCCACAGCCCTCGGTGTCTAAGTGCAGTTTAAAATTGGAAGTGGGCACCGGCACTCGGGAGGAGGCTGAGAAATCCCCCTGCCAAGTGCCATTGAATGTGCTCACTCCCAAGGCCCTAAGTGTGTGTTTGCGTGGAATGTCATTGGTGGAAGTGTATAAGGTGCAAATAAAATTGGGGGGCAGGTTAGAAGTGCAGAGACAACAGTCAGCCAGTAGGGGGAAGCCTCCAAAAAATTACAAGACACTATTTACACTTTTTCCTCACGCTGGTGCTGACGCAGTCATTAGATATAAAGGAAATGTGCAATAGGAAGGATCTGAATCACTAATGCTTCAGAAATACTAATAATTAACACCATGCAAAATCATCAAGCAGATCTGCAAGAAAGAAAATCTCTTTTAACTTTTCAAACTTTTGCTTTTCTGACCTAATAACAGCTCCCTACCAAATAACTTCTGCAGAACCTGTCCATCATAACAGTCCTCCTCCAGGTCTTTCACTATGATCCGGTCCTCCTCCAGTTCACTGTTGATCCACTCAATCAGAACCTGCAAGAAAACCAATGATGACGCTTGCACCAACTCCCCTCGTATTTGACATTGCACTCAGATATTTTCATTCAAGCTTGTGTTTGACCCCTGATTACCTTCAGGAGATCACTGAATTTAAGGTTCTCTCGAGAAGTTGGGTCCAACATCATCCTCTCAGCATTTTCCTCTGTGGAAAACAACATCAAACCCTAAAAAATATATAGCTTTAATTATTTTGTCATTTTGATTTCCCTTTGATGACATGGTTTGTCAATCCAGTAACAGAAAATGATGAAATATTTTCCTTCACACTTTGTCAGAGGTGATTTCTTGTGACTAATGAAGGCCTTGCACACTCCACCCACTTTCATTTCCTGCTTCTCTGCTGTTGAAATCCCCATCAGTCAGAGAAAGTTTCAGTCCATCATAGCCTGAATGACCTTTAAAATACAAATTTGTTTGCTTCATCTGGAAAAAGATGTTTCTGTAGTGAGGTGTACTTACCCAGCAAAGTGTCTTCAGGATAGATCTCTGTCCCCAAGGGAAGCAGCGGAGCATTGATGGCATTTCTTCCCTCCTCATGGAGATCACTCACTATTAAGACAAAATATACAAAAACATGAAGCTTTTCACCAAACAGCAACTGAAGAAAACCAAACTAAATCTTCTTAGGGTTGGAGTGCTTTTTTATCGTGCTATGGATCTTTTATGTCCTCCTTCTAAAGTGTGGGTAATAATATTTCGCCTGTACAGTGAGGAACAAAAGTATGTGAAAACCCTATGATTTTCACCGGTATCCCACAGGGGTCAGTGTTAGGTCCCTTCTGTTTATTCTTTATATCAATGACATATGTTTAGTTTCTAAAACATTGCATTTCATACTATTTGCAGATGATACTAATGTTCTAAGTTTTGGGGAAATTTTAATAACATTAATGGACAAGGTTGAGAAAGAATTTGATGCATTAAAGTGTTGGTTTAATTTAAATAAATTAACTTTAAATCTAAATAAAACAAAATTTATCCTATTTACTAATAGAGCAATTTCAGTGGATACACGTCTCAAAATAAATAATACAGAAATTGAAAGAGTGAATGAAATAAAATTTCTTGGCGTAACCATAGAAAAATTGGAAACCATGTATTGACTCACTTACAGTTATCTAAATCATCAGCAGTTATCTAAATCTTTTGTATTGTTCTTTAATTCTGCCTTATTTCATGCATTGTGTTGAAGTGTGGGGAAATACCTACGAAACCCACTTAAAGCCTTTTTTTATAATTCAGAAGAGAGCAATTCAACTTGTAAATAAAGCAGCTTGTAGAGAGCATACACATTTACTTTTTATTCATTTAAAAGTATTGACGCTAAGATAATTAGTTACATTTAGAACTGCAGTATAAAGTGATGAATAATTTGATGCCAAAACAAATTCAGGATCTGTTCCAGATCAGAGAGAGTGTTTATGATCTCAGAGGGTATAAAATGTTTAGAAAGCCTAAAGTAAGAACTAAAATGAAACAACTTTGTATTTGTTGTGTTGGGGTTGATGTATGGAATAAATTAGACCAGGAGCAAAAAGATTGTTCAACAATGGTAAAGTTTAAGGGTATTTTTAAATCAAATGTGATTAAATACTATGAATCAAGTCGATGAAAAAAATGCATAAAATATTAAAGGTCATTATTTTTTATAAAGCAAGGATGGGGATTTGAATATATTCCCATAAATTTCAATAATGATGTATACATCATGGAATTGGTATGCTATTCTCAAATTTTGCTTAAGTTCAAAGGGTTTGGGGTTATAAGCTTATGCTTCTGCCTGCACCCATTCTTAGAACTGTGTAAGTCGTGTGTTTGCTTGTAAACCTGCAAATGTTTTTTGTTGTACTATTTTTATTGTACTATTGATTTTAATTTCTCATAAACTCATTAAACTCATTGTGGTGGGTAGAAATCAGAGGTGTGGACTCCAGTCACATGACTTGGACTCGAGTCAGACTCGAGTCATTATTTTAATGATTTCTGACTTGATAAAAGAGACTTACGACTTGACTCGGACTTGAACGCCAATTACTTGCGACTGTTGACTTGATGATGACATGAGTATATCGAACCTTTCTCAGTGACCTAGTGGTAGAGTGTCCACCCTGAGACTGGGAGATCAGGGGTTCGATTCCTGGTCGGGTCATACCAAAGACTTTGAAAAAATGTGACCCAGTGCCTCCCTGCTTGACACTCAGCATTAAGGGGTTGGATTGGGGGTTAAACCACCAAATAGTTCCCGAGCGCGGCTGTGTCTGCAGCTCACCGCTCCCCCAGGGGATGGGTCAAATGCGGAGAACACATTTCGCACACACACCTGTGTGTGTGACAGCTAATGGGACTTGACTTTATTTGATATTTTAATACAAAAGTGGCACAACATGGACAAAATCATAAATCATTCGTCGTTCAGGGTTTTATTTTGTTCTGCTAAATGCAGCAGCACTTTGTTTATAATCAGTTTCAGGTGCACTTTCTGCTTGTTTGAGCAAATAAATGAAGTTTTAAGAAGCTTTATTTCTAGCATTTATTTATTATCATTGTCATTAAATTGTAGTTGGACAGATGACTTGAATATGACTTGAAAATTCAAAGTCAATGACTTCTGATAGATAAAAAGTGATTTTCGCCTCACCTTGTTAATAATTTGTCTGGTGTTGTTATTTCAAACAGAGGTTCATCAACGCTCATTTACATTTAAATAAGGTGCAGGAAACCCGACCTCGCCTGAGTACTTTTAATTATGATTAGAAGCCAGACCAATGTGTTCTGCACTCGGTTGACTGTCTGTAAAGAATTTGTGTGTGTGTGTTGTTTACCTCTAACTTTGTGTGTGTGTTCCCAAATAAAGTCTCTCTCCAGCCTTGCTTGTGTTGTGAGAGGAAACTGGCTTTTTTCTCTGGTGTGTATTGATTCTCTCACCCTTTGCAAAGTATTTTGTTGTTTGTTGTGGGTTGTTTACAATTTACCAAATTATCAATCTAATCCCTCTGTGTGTTTTGAACTTTCTTTGAGGTAATGCGAGATCAATAAAAATGACCTAACAACTTCCACATCATTGACTTTGGACTCGACATGGATTTCGTTGTCTTTGACTTGAACGTGACTCAAAACTTGACCAGAAACATTTGTGATTTACTTGTAACTTGCAAAACAGTGACTTGGTCACACTTCTGGTAGAAATCATGGAGGGGTCTTAAATTCAGAGAGACAGCATTTAGAATGATTTTAAATAATTTATTTGTATTTACCTGCTACACGTAAGTATTTGGAATTCTGGCTCACAAAAACCTGTCACTCTCCACCTCTAGTCCATGTAGCACTTGTTTGAGCTTGTTAAAGACACCTGTCCACAGCGATGCGGACTTCGGTGAAGTGTGGATAAAGGGTGCTAAATGGGCGTGATAAACTTCCGCATTTGAGAATCGAGACACCCTACGCACTTGAACCCCTGGTCAGGGTCGCGGAATTGAAGGGCGCAAAGGTGGAAAAACGAGTATTGGGATTGGACCTCAGTCAGACTCCATTTACTACCATGGGCAAGACCAAAGAGCTGTCAAGAGACATCAGAGACAAAATTGTGGATCTCCACAAGGCTGGAAAAAGCTACGGGGCAATCACCAAGCAGCTTGAGGAAAATAGATCAACTCTTGGAGCAATTGTTAATGGCAGAGGCCAAAGGCGACTGTCAGCCTTCCTCAGATAAGGCTCCACGCAAGGTCTGACCTGGTGGAGAATCACTGATGATAGGAAAGGTGAAATCAGCCCAGAACTAGATGGGAGGAGCTGGTCAATGACATGAAGGGAGCTGAAACCACAGGTTCAAAGGTCACTGTCAGTAGAACACTACGCTGTCATGGTTTAAAATGATGCTTTACACGGAGGTTCCCCTGCTCAAGCCATCACATATCCAGGCCCGTCTGAAGTTTGCCAACGACCATCTGGATGATCCAGAGGAGCCATGTGGTCAGATGAGACCAGAATAAAAAGTTTTGGTCTAAATTCTTCTCGCCGTGTTTGAAGGAAAAAGAAAGATGAGTTTCATCCCAAGAACAACACCCCTAATGTGAAGCACGGAGGTGAAAATATCATGCTTTGGGGGTGCTTTTCTGCCAAGGGGACAGGACGACCGCAATGATGAATGGGGCCATGTAACCTCCTTCCCTCAGTCAGAGCACTGAAGATGGGTCACGGCTGGATCTTCCAACATGACAATGAACTGAAGTACACAGCCAGGTTAACCAAGGAGTGGCTCTGTTAAAGGCATATCAAGGTTCTGGAAAGGGCCTAGCCGGTCTCCAGCCCTAAATCTGAGATAAACTGTTTGGAGAAAGCTGAAACTCAGTGTTGCTCAGCGACAGCCCTGAAACCTGACATATCTAAAGGAGATCTGTGTGGAGGAGTGGGCCAAAATCCCTGCTGCAGTATGTGCAAACCTGGTCAAGAACTACAGGAAATTATTGACCTCTGTAACTGCAAACAAAAGTTTCTGTACCAAAAAGTAACACTGTTTTTTCAGGTGTTGAAACACTTAAATGCAGCAGTGCAATACAAATAAATTCCTACTGTGATTTCCTGTTATTTTTTATTGCTGCCTCTCACAGTGGGAATGCACGTACAACGTGACTTTCAGACCCCTCCATGATTCCTGACTGGGAGAACTCGGACAATCTGGGTATTCAAATATTTATGTTCCTCGCTGTATTTGTGTGGGACGTAGCTCAATTTGTTTGTTTTATTAGCAAAATGAATTGTTAATCAGTGGACATGCTTTAATGAAACTCTCAAAGTAATGACAGGAAGTGCATCTACAACTGATGATTGATAACTATAAATGCAATTAATGTAAACCAAGTATTTTTACCTTCTGTTATTTCAAAATGAATCTAGGAATTCCTGTTTTCAGGCACTGCCATGTTGTGTTCTCTTTCTTAACATTCGTTTCGATGTCTCACTATGGGATACGCCCCTCCGCGGATTCCTCAGAAGCACTTATCTCAATACGCCAATCCTGATTGGCCAGTGACCGTGACGTACGCGTCCCCCTGCTACTATAAGTAGCAAGCGTCCCAACGTACGCACTATTCAATCACCTCTTCTCGCTTCGGTGGTCGCTTATCTCTGAGGTAAGTTAGCTCAACTGTTCACAGACGGAGCCTTCTAATATTCTCTCCGTCGCCGAACGTTAACTTACCGTCCTTCTGTCCTGACCTTCACCATAGGCTCGGGGCATAACAAGCAGCTTCACACTCCAGTGCATCTGTTCGTTCTATGCTAACACACCAGTTAGCCAACATGGAAGACGCTCCTCCCACCAGAGGAGTCGACGGCGCAGGAGCTCGCCTCTGTACCTGTGGGAACAAAATCTCAAGCAAAGACCCACACAGGGTCTGCTCAAGCTGCCTTGGGCTGGAACACGCCCAGCTGGCATTGGAAGTCCCCAGGTCATGTGAGAGCTGCGCTTGCTTCACCCTGAAGAGCCTTCGCCGGCGGCTAGCACGCCAAGCTAGCCTGTCGGGGAAGGACCCTTGCCTGCCGGCCCCTGG